AGTTATCAAAACAAGATTTTGTATCCTTATGTCTATCAGAGCTTTAAATGATCAGTGCTTCCTGCAGTGTTTTTTTGTTCGCTTGTTGTAGCCAAGCATTTCTTCCAACCCCCCAACTCAAAGATCTTGAATGGCGAACACAATCAGGTAAGATGTAATATTTAGCTGATGCAGAATTTTAACAGGAATTGCATCCTTCAAGTTCTGCCAGGGTTTGTGTTYGCGATGTGTTTCGCGCTGTCTCTGGTGCTGCAGATGGATTCCTGCTGAACTTTCTGGGGCAAACTGAGGAGAAGGGTTCCCAGAGAAAGCGGGTCACAGATCCAGGCATGATAAGTCCTGCGGCAGCTCGAACGGAGCTGGGAGTCTGAGCCTGTGCAGAGTGACCTGGAGTGACTCCGTGTATATCTTCTGTCCTTTGCCCTGCAAGGCGACATACCTAATGCTGAAAGAGAGCCCCAAGTGCTGCCGTAGGCTGCTGGGGCTAAGCCCCAAATCCTGACAGGGAAGTAGGGCTTGGCCTTGGAAGGGTAACTCTTGGTGAAATTGGCCCTGCAGTGCTTGAGGAGACGAATGGAGTGGACACTTCYTAAGGAATACTTGAAAGTGGCGTCCATGGCTTTGCAGTTATCCCTGTTCCTGGAAATACAGAAGCTATCATGATTCTACTTCAAATAATTATGTGCTTTTTTTCCTCCAAAACTGTAAAACTCCCTTAATGGTTGGGATAGGTGTGTCCTAGGTGGTTATTTTTAGTTGTTGGTATTTAAGTACTTTTTGCACTCGTTACTTGTATGCAGATTGACTTCCAGTAGGCAAATTTGCAGCATTTAAGCTGATGTTTGTTAATGACAGAATGAACAGTCTGACCCACTTTTTTGTGTGTTGCCAGCAGTATTGTAATCCCTAGGAAGAGAGAGCAGAAAACCACTGGAAAGATGTGTGTAAAATGTCCACAGAAAACTATATAATAAAATACCATTGAAGAACGMCAGTTGTCTGTATATCCTGAAAGTTATAGAATTGACTTTTAATAAATCTAGCTGTGCTATTCAGAAGGTGAAAAACTAAMAAATTTGTTTTCAATCAAATCCAAAATTAATGAATCGGTTTAGTATTGTTTTATTTTTTCCTCTTACAAAATGATTTCCCATGAGCTTAAGCTGTGTAAGTATGAGCATCTTGTATTTACCCTCAGAAGTCCCTGTATCACAGTCATTTTACAAATAGAGAAAGTTCGTTTGGGGTTTGATGCTTTGAATTTCAAGGGTTATCTTTGTATTGGTCTCTATATAATCTGTGTTCATGTGGGTGGGGAGTTAACTGTGTCTCCTCTCCAGTTCTGTGCTGCTGCRGATGCCCCTCAGCTACTGTCCCACATATTATACATCTTGCAGGGAGCCTCTGTCAAAGGTGCTTTCAAAAGACATGAGCGTAAGGAGAGATCCTTCGTGTCTTACAAAGCTGCAAGTTCCTGGGTGTTTTGAGTGTCCCTCTCTGTCACAGTTTGAGGAGATGTTTGTTAAGCAGTGCAGTGTCCCTATAAACATCAATCACAGTCTGGAAAAAGAAAATAGAAAGATTGAGGATCTGGGTTCTGCCTGCAGATTTCAGTGTCTTACTCCTACAGCATAGGAGAGCGTAAAGTAACTGGTTCTTAGCAGATGGCCAAAGAGGATAAAATATCCAGAGGTGTCCGAAAAAAAAAAGCTAAAACTGTTTCTCAGCCTACAGGACTTAGCTGAACATTTTGAGGCATTTATGTTTTAGCCTTCATGGTCAACAGCTTCTGACTTTCTGAAATACTTGGCTTCTAATCTAGATTGCAAAAACTGAAAAGCTTGGCTGYTGTACAGAGCCACGTTCTGAAATGTGTATTATATCTGAAGGGTGAACAAAGATTTTGTCTACTTTTGACTACATTAAAAAGTTCAGTCTTCTCATAAGTTAGAAATTATTGAATTTACATTTATCTTGTTTCTTATTTGAGGGTAGTGAGTGGAGGAAACTTGTTAAACATCTTCCAGTTAACACAAAACATTTATTTTGGCCAGTTTTATTGGTCACGTAGGCCATCAGCATTGAAATTCTCATCTGTCCTAATTAATACTTGGATCTGATTCCCACCAGCTGCTTTATTTTAGGGAGGAGAATGAAGGGGATAGAAAATGCTCTTGTCTGATGTAGATTCAGCCATCAGAAGATAAATCTCAACTTAAGCGCATTAATCTTGGATAAACTGTAGTAATTAAAAGGAATGATGACCAGTGGTTCCCTTACAGCCTTGTTGTTCCCTGCTCTTCTCTTGTGAGGAAGAGGGACTGCCACAAACCACTGTGTAAGGTGGTGAAAAATGGTGAAAATCTCTGTTCTACACCCATCCTGGCCCCAGGAACCGAACTGCAAACTTGCTCTGTGCAAGACACAGGTGTGCTCCTTTTCTCCTGSTCCTCAGTTCTGGGAAAGACTATGGGAGTTTCCCCAAGAGTGCAAACTGATGCTAACTAGACATAAAATAACAAGCGGGTCTTGGTTTGAAGTTAGTGACATGCACTGCATGCAGGCAGCCTCTGCCTGGGGCTGTGTGGTTAGCAGAGAGTAGTGACTGAAAGAAGACATGTGAGCTTGGTGCGAGAAGGCATGGTGGGGATCCTGGATCCTGCACACCTTGCTGGCCATGCCTTGCAGGGTGAGAAAATCGGAGTTTGTAAAGTGCCTGTTGTGTCCTAGTCTGTCAGCTCCRGCGTTTCTGAATTGCACATCATCTCCGAAGTTTTCTTTATCTTTTTTGCTCCAGAGGACAGTTGTTTATTCACAACTTTACCAAGTTCTTGCATGTTCATATTGCAGCATCTCTGCTCTGCAGGTTTCTTCCCTCAACTTTTGTGTAGCAGTAGCCTGATCTAGCTGTCAGTTAGCTAAAGTAGAAACTTGAAGGGAGAATAAAGAACCGTTGAGGTTTGTTCAGTTCTGTGATTCTGTAACTGCTAATGCAAATCCTCTGGTGTTCTTCAGACTTTTGTTAAGATCTTCCTAACCATGGTAATTCACTGTTTTCCCTCAGGTAAGATAAGTGCTCATTTTGGTCAAATTGTAGCCAACTATCCATTTTAGTACACCTATTTAGTTGTGGTTATAGAAGCATGGAATAATTCCTGTTGGAATTGGCCTTGGATCACCTACCAGTCCTCTTCCTCTTCTGGGCCAGCTGCAAGATCAGAGTGCAATGCTCAGGTTTTTGTCTAGTCGGGTCTTGGAAGCCTCCAAGGATGGAAACTACATGACCTCTTTGGGCTACCTGGTCCACAGCTAAGCTGTCCTCATGGGGAAAAAGCTTTTCCTTATATCCAGTCTGAATGCCCCTTGTTTCAGCTTATGTCATTGTCTCCTGTCCTTCTGCCATGCACCACTGTGGAGAGCCTGGCTCCACCTCCTTGGTGCCCCTCTCCAGGTGCTGCTCCATAGGTGTGCTCTCCACAGCCACTTCTTCTCCAGGCTGAACCTGGCTGGCTGATCCTGCAGCCTCYACTCGCAGGCCGATGGCTCCAACCTTGGCAGCTTGCTGTGAGATTTGCCGCAGTTAATCAGTCTCGAGACTGGTTGTGGTGTTCAGGACATGGTCCAACAAGCCCTGCACAGAGAGGAGTAACCCCTTCCGTGGTCCAGCYGTACAGCCAGGAGCTTGTTGTCCTCCCATGCCCAGGGCACACAGTGGTCTCATGCTCAGCTGGTCCYCAGCAGCCCCGGGCCCTTTCTGCAGAGGTGCTGCCGTCCCTGTGCTTGGGGTTGCTGTTCCTGTCCAGGAGCAGGATGCTGCCCTTCTCCTCATGGAATGTCATAAGTGTCCAGGCGGCCCCAGCCTGCCCAGGTCCCTCTGGAAGGCAGCTCTGCTCATGTGCTCTGCTCACTCTGCTCACTGGTCCCCCCCAACATTGCTTTCCCTTCAAAACTGGAAGGTTTGAGGATGGCACCTCATTTCTCCCCAGTCATCGGTAAAGCATGAGGCAGAACTGCTTACATGATAACTCCTGTACTGTGCAAGATATGCTGAAATTGTGGCTCTTGCTCCATCAACAAGCCTAAGCGGGGGAAGTTTGACAAACCAGGCCAGGAGTGGCACAGCTGCCTGGCCTCTCCATAGGAATTGCCTCCTGCCCACAGGTTGTGCAGCTGCTTCTGCTGGGAAAGCAAGAGCTCCTGAGAGGTCTGAGCTGGTATCTTCTTCTTGGAAATTGTAGGTGCCAGTGTATTATTGTGTGATCCATCATCCTGAATTGGGATGGATAAATGTGTGCTTGAGTGGTTTGGATGGAAGAGAGTATTTAGGGTATTTTAATGTCTTTGGAGGTTTTGATCTTTCTTGAAGGTTTTTTTTTGTTTGGTTTTTTTTTTTTTTAAAGTAATATAACTGGGAGTGAAATATAAATGTAAGAAAAAAAATTCTATAGAGACAGAGACTGATACAAGATACTCATGTATTGCATTGCTGATGTATTCTAACTTTTCCCCCTCTCTTACTATTTCACAATCCTGGAATCAGTAGCTAATTTCTTAAAGAAAATACCACTTTTATCTACTCTGATTGTCATGCTTTTAGGATCTAAAATAATGCTGAGTACTACTGGCAAAAGTAGTTCTGGAATGTGACATATCCAATAATGCAACATATGGAAACTATAAAGCTTCAAGCATTACAATGACAATAAAGAAAGAATATGTTCTTTGGAGGTGGCTTTACTGGTGTTAAGCTTGAACTTCGACTTCACAATGAATTTGAGCTTCACATAAGGATAAGGAGGTGCTACAGAACTAAGCCTGGGAATAGGAGCCTGGGAAAACTTCATAGACACTTGGTGTTGTTTTCGATGATTTATCTATTTTCATGATGAATTTACACAACTACCCCGTAAAGAAAATTGTCTTAAACTTTTCTCACCATTCTTAGGTTGAAAAACAAAAGCTTAAAATGATTGTTTTGTTTGCTATTTAAACATTTTTATTCTTTTTCTCTTTCTCATTTTTCAGTAACAATGACAAATATTGGAGAAAAAGGTAAGATTATTATTAGAGGTTTGTAAGTGTGACTCATATATCAGGCTATATATGATGTTACTCTGCTCTTTTTATAATCCTGTTTGTTCTTGAAAATGATTTTAGCCATGCCAAACACAGATCAGAAAGATGAGAACTCTTCACTCTTCTTATGGGCTTTGAGTTGTCAACTATAAATATCCTATATTAGACCTTCCTATTCACCACACTGAGAGCTCTTCTAAAAGGAAGATCTTTAAAAATGAACAAGGTGTGTGTGTTTTTAGAATGGGAAGGGACCACATCCTGAAATTGGAGGTCATTTCTTCATTTCTCCAGTTCCATTTTAAACAGTGTCACAGGCTCCTTCAGATCCATAACCTTTTCAGAAGGAAACGGAACTGTCTGATCTGCTGTTACTAGAGCTGCTACCTGGAGGCTGTGACTTTCTGAGATGCTTTCCCAGGTTCTCTTTTAGTAATATACTATAAGTTGTGCATGTAAAATGTGGRACTGTGGGACTTTTAGATGAAAGAGAGCTAGGAAGCCAAGTGGATACTGCTTAAATTTGTGTAATTTCAGCAGTTTTTGTTAAGTCATTTGAGATTTCATCACTGAGAAGAAGCATTTGCCAATTAAGAAATGCTTGCTTGGAAAACAGTTTTGTTCAGTCCAATGATTTCTCCCCTATGAGTGCATCATCATATCTGCAAACTTCAGCACCTGCAAATTTTGAAATAATTCCAGTTTTCAGCAGCAACTTGGAACAAAATAAAGACTGAGGTGCTGTTAGCCATTGCTCACAAAGCACATATTATAATTAACAAAAAAAAAAAAAAAAAAAGGTGCTGAGGAGCCTTAGCCTTCCTTAGTTTTAGTCACTCAAAGCCTTAGCAAACTTCTCTTGAGAAATCTGCCTTGGCCACCCATCTGCACTGAGAATTTTCAGAGATGAAAGCTGGAGAAATGTGTCCTCCCTCCTATTACAAGTTACGGTAACTTTCCAGGCAACGCTAGTGATGCTGCAGGTGTGGGTCTGAAACCTGCTGAGTGCATTTAGTGGATTTCCTCCATGCAAGGAGTATGCACTTTATTAAAACACACACACACACACACACACACACACACACACACACACACACACAAAGTGTAAATTAGCTCATTTTTTAAGCCTTCCCAGAACTCCTGTGGCCAATTGTGAATGTTTTTTGTATGTCCACCCAGTCCCATAACTGGAAGAACTTGTCTTCTCAGCAGACGTAGAGCTGCGAATGTAAGAGAAAAGACAAGGGCAAGTCATGAATGACCTAGACGACCCAAAACTGGGAAAGGGAATAAATCTGTGTGATTAAAAAACTAGAGTTGGAAAGTGCAGAAAAATGCCTTTTGAATTAGCTTCTTGGACTAAGCTTTTCAAATTCCATTGAGGAATACCAAAGTTGCTTCTTAAGCAATTTATTCTCCATCCCATGAGCTGACTGAACCAAGAGCYCTTCAGAAAAATAAAACGTACAGTTGCATTTTCTCATTTTTTGCTGTCTTGGTTCTTCTTGTCTTCTAATAATTTTCCAATGTGATTTGTGCAAAAGGAACAGATTTCTAATTTCTCCACAGGGGAGGGAAAAAAAAAAAAGAAAATCCTCTGCTGCAGATAATCTATGCATTAAACAGGTCTGGAAACATTTTCCAGTACTAAAACATCTTTGAAGAGGGAAATGAAATCCTTTGGGAATAGCTAGCTGGTAAAATAAGAACATCAGAATAACCTCCATTTTTCCCAAGCCTTTAAATGAAAGGAGCATGTTTTAAAGATTGATTTTTTTTTTTTTTTTTTTTTTACTAAGATATTTCTACTGCATTCAAAGCATGCCCTCTTTCTTAAAAAATGAACTAATAGAATTTTTACACTGGGCTCCCCCCAGTCAGTCCCTGGACTTTCTCTGGACAGTTTGTGCAGCAGGGTAGAAGGTGGCTGTAACTCCTCGTTTTGAGTCAATAGACTCAAGGCTTCTTTCAGAAACATCTTTGATTCAAGCAAATAAGAGTGGGGACACAGCCCAGGAATGGATTGTTCAGCC